TCTCATTAGCTTATAAAGAAGAATCATGTTGTCTGTTTTAAGCCGCTCTTGGCGAGAGCCGAGCGGCTTATTAATTCTGTCCAGAGAACGAAATGACGGACCCACTTCCGATCGGGGTGCATGCGCATAATTCAGTATTGCATGCTTCCGCTATATAGTTTCGTTATTAATTATCGTAAATAGAAAGTAGAATCTCTGACACTCACTTGTGGGTTACATAAAGTCTTCTGATACTCTTCTCCAAATAATAATCTATACTTTAAATAATTGCTGAAAACAAAATGTTTATCTCCAGTGCATTCTACGAGTGTTGTGGTGGTGAAATTCGTGCACTAGGTTTGAGCGTTTTAGCAACTCGGATTGCGGTCTGGGGAGTGCTACGCGTGTGAAACACATATGATTCGAGAAAGCACATGTGAAGACTGTCAAGCATTAACGCTGTCTGTAGAAGGAAAAAGTAAATATATAAACTTATAAACCGTATGAGTGATGAAGTATAACCTCTGTTTTGACGTTTGAAACGGGAACATATATATGCCATATTGTGCTTAGGTTGATAACGGTAGACTAATGGCTCCGAGACGAGACGATAATTATGTGAACTGTGTATGCTATCAAACATTTTTGTAACACAGCATGCTATTTCTGGTGTATTTATTTATGAAAGTGTAACAATTTAAGAACATGACACAACTGCCGCTGCTGTTTGACAAGAATTCGCGCCGTGTCAAAATAGTATCCAATTGGGTGTAAGGGAAATAACTCTTACGTTGGTAAAGTCGCATTGGGAAATATAATTCAAATATATTCCAAGAACATTTGTGAGATTTTGTATATTCAATGACGGTAAATATAGTCGCTACAAATATAAATAATTTTCACTAATATGAATAAAAAAATAAATAAAAATAAAAGGAGTACAATGTCTCTTTTCTCCATGCATGTTTTCCCACTACTGTTAATTATCCTTCATTTCACAAGCAAAAAATGCACCTATTCTTTATTATCCATTCACCAATTGCCATTCGACTGCACGTAAACGCACATGTCACATCATTGGAGGATGCTAATTAATGAAAATTACAACAATGCGTCACACTTAAGGAGGGTGAAAAAAGAGGAGAGGGAGAAATGTTTTACCACTTAAAGAGGGTTAAAAAAGAGGAGAGGGAGAAATGTTTTTAAGGCATCATTAAAGAGGTAATTGATTTTGAAAATCCTAAACGCAACTTCATCAGATGACCTGATTTTCAATGAGCAGAATACAGAACACATATCTGAGGTATTATAGTAGATATTGTTGCTCAACGTGTTACTGAAGCAATTAAATTTAAAGTGGTGAGCGGCTGTAATGTCACACTGACATAATTCTAGTTGTTTTTAGCTCACCTAGTTAGTGAGCTTATGCCGTGGCGCGGCGTCCGTCCGTCCGTCCTCGTCCGTCAACTTTTCCTTTAAACAACTTCTTCTGAAGAACGGACAGGCCTAGAGTCATGATATTTGGCTGAAAGCTTCGTTGGTAGGAGCCCTACAAAGTTTTGCGAACGAAAATGACCTTGACCTGTTTTCAAGGTCACAGGGGTCAAATATGGCAAAAACTTCAAACGACTTCTAAAAAACTAAAAGGTATAGAATCTTCATATTTGTCTGATGGCTTCCTGGGATAGAGCCCAACAAAGTTTGAGAATGAAAATGACCTTGACCTACTTTCAAGGTCACAGGGGCCAAATGTGTCGAACACTTCAAATGACTTCTTCTGAAGAACTGAAAGGTATATAATCTTTATATTTGGCTGGTGGCTTCCTGGGATAGAGACCAACAAAGTTTGAGAATGAAAATTAGTTTGACCTACTTTCAAGGTCACAGGGGTCAAATATGTCAAAAACTTCAAAC